TGGGTGTATATGATAGAGGTGGAAAAGTATATTATAAGCTGTTCGTTATGCCTCTACATGCTGCTGAGCTTGCTAAGCATGCGGTTTCCTGTACCCCGAGGGCATTTTTCTTGGCAGGATTGGTTTGCTTAATTCGATTGCAGCATATGTATGCTGATAATAAATTTGTTATTCTCATGACGAATGTGTCTAAGGTGCAAAATAAATCGGGGACAATTACATATAGATCACCAGAAACTTGCTATTTACATTTCTAACACCTGATCTTTCGGGATACATAAAAAAAAAGATGTTATCACATTTTAAGGAAAGCTACACTCCATATTTCTTATCCTAATGCTTTCCTACAACATTTTTTTGACGTCTCTTTGTTTTGATTAGAAAATGAGCTGGTTTGATTTCTTTTTGTTATGGATTTTCCAGGCATACATCACACAACTATGTTTATTTGCAGAACCTTGCTAGTGTTGATCTCTGTTGATATGATTATAATTTATCTTGGAAATAATTAGATAAGTGGCTTTACTTTAAGCCTTGCATAGTTTGTTCGTTGTGGGAAAGGATCAACAAGGTAATGATCATTTAGGCTTATATGTTGCTTGAGGACATAGAAAAAAGTGAGAAAGAAATGAGGAGTTATAAATGGGTCTTCCAAGCTGCTTGTGAATGCATAAGAAACTGAATGGTGTGTATGTAAATTTCCTTTGGTTTTATTTTACAGAACTTTGGATTTTAGGTGTGTAAACATATGGGAGTGGGGTTGTATGCATGCAAGCATTCTTAAAGCTTTTCATATGCTTACCTTAATACAGTGGGGAACTTTTAAAATGCACCTTTTGTGGGCTGATTTTGGCAAACTATTTGGAACCTTTTAAAAATATGTTTTTGCGGGCTGAAATGACTGTAGCTTTGAGGGTTGATTCATCCTTCGTTCTTTTCGATGTTTTGGGTGAATCAGTCCCTCCTCTCTCTCACCCCACTTTTGTTCTTTTCTTTTCCTTGCTTCATGGTTCGATTTTCGATGCTTATGTCCGATGCATAAGTGTCCACGTATAGCCTTTTGCTATACGTGAAACCATCAAGTAAGGTCGCAAGTAGTCGTTTTGGGGCGTACGGTGTTGATGAGAAGACACACCGAAGATAGAGCAGAAAGATGCGCTATCCTATAACATCAAGATCCAAGCATTTGATGAACAATAAGATATGGTATCCTTCACCGACATAAGTCTAGCGGGAGTTGACTCGAACCTCCTCAGGTTGTTAGCAGTCCTATGTCTGGTAGCGTAATCGACTCGTGGATAACAAAAAATTTCTAAAAAGAAAAGAATATAAGTTTTGATAAACCATTTTCAAACAAAAACATACTTTTCTACGAAACAAAAATTGATACCTCTTCTTTGCATGTTTAAAATTTGTGTGTATGTCAAAAATATAAATTTTAAAATACGTTTTAAAGTTGGTTTTCCACCTGACGAATACCTGTTTAGGCTCGGAAATAGCCCTCTAAGTGAGGTTCAAGACGTCATTCTAGACGAGTGGCGGGGTGTCTATATTCCGGGGGG